GTTAACATCTGGGGCAAACAAAGGGTTAGATGTGTGCCTAACTATGTGTAATGTGTTGACTGTGTGCTGTTTTACTAGGGGGATGTGACAGTTTTTGTTTTATTTTGTAGGAAGACAAAAACTGTCACATCCCCGTTGTCAGAAGAGAGATCTATGTTATTTACCAACACAGATTTCACTCCTGTCACTAGCTCTGACAATCAATCAGGTCCTGGCTGTGAATCACTGTCTGGGAAACGCTGATCGCAATGTCAGGGTGTCAATGACTGCGTGGGTAGGCAGGTGCGCGGGTGCACCCCCTATCTGGAAAAGCAAAATCATTTCTATGTACGTGATTTTGCACAGCCGGCCTGCACCATAGCAGTAAAGATGAGTCAGTGTGGCTTCCACATATATTTGCAAATGTGTGCAACCTAAACCTCTGTTTTTAACCTAAATTATATACAGTTGTGTTCAAAATAATGGCAGTCAGACATCACTAACCTGATCAATCACTGTTTTTGGTAGAAATAATATATCTACATGCCAAATAATTTACTAGCAGGTGTAGTAGAGTAATAGAAATCCAACAGACCCAACAGTCATGACATGCATGCTGCTGATTCTGTGTAAATGAATCACTAATTGAAAGGGGCATGTTCAAAATAATAGCAGTGTGGAGTTCTCTTATTGAGGTCATTCATTCTTTGAAAACAAGGTGGCAATTATTGCCCTTATTTAAGGATTTCTCTCTGAAATTCTGAGGAAAATGGGTCGTTCCAGACATTATTCACAAGAACAGCGTACCTTGATTAAAAACTTGATTGGAGAGGGGAAAACATATAAAGAAGTGCAGAAAATGATAGGCTGCTCAGCTAAAATGATTGCAAATGCTTTAAAATGGCAACCAAAACCTGAAAGACGTGGAAGAAAGCGAAAAACTACCATTCAAATGGATAGAATAGCCAAAATGGCAAAGACTTAGCCAACAATCAGCTCCAGGAAGATCAAAGATGGTCTAAAGTTACCTGTGAGTACTGTTACAATTAGAAGACGCCTATGTGAAGCCAAGCTATCTGCAAGAAGCCCCCGCAAAGTCCCACTGTTGAAAAAAAGACATGTGCTGAAGAGGTTACAATTTGGCAAAGAGCACATTGACTGGCCTAAAGAGACATTTTGTGGACTGATGAAAGTAAGATTGTTCTTTTTGGGACTAGTGGCCGGAGACAGTTTGTCAGACGACCTCCAAACACTGAATTCAAGCCACAGTACACTATGAAGACAGTGAAGCATGGTTGCGCAAGCATCATGATATGGGGATGTTTCTCATACTACGGTGTTGGGCCTATTTATCGCATAACAGGGATCATGGATCACTTTGAATACATCAGAAAACTTGAAGAGGTCATGCTGCCTTATGCTGAAGAGGAAATGCCCTTGAAATGGGTTTTCCAACAAGACAATGACCCCAAACACACCAGTAAACGTGCAACATCTTGGTTCCAGACCAACAAGATTGACGTTATGGAGTGGCCAGCCCAATCCCCGGTTCCTAATCCAATAGAAAACATGTGGGGTGACATCAAAAATGCAGTTTCTGAGGCAAAACCAAGAAATAGAGAAGAACTGTGGAATGTTGTCCAATCATCCTGGGATGGAATACCTGTTCACAGGTGCCAGAAGTTGGCTGACTCCATGCAACACAGATGTACAGCAGTTCTCAGAAACAGTGCTTATACAACTAAATATTCATTAAGTGATTCAAAGGAAAGCAAAATCTTCAAACATTTTTCAGTTTATATAGTGAATGTTTGAGTTTGCAAAGAAGAATACAAACACTGCTATTTTTTTTGAACAGTCTAATATTCACTTTTCTTAAATTTTTTTAGAGGAACAACACAAATTTGATATATTTTTCTTCATGTTTTGATTTGGAATAGAATGTGTAGTGTTCCCAATGCATTTGTGCGTATGGAAATAAAAGCTATTAGAAGGATTTTGAGCTTTATTCACTTTTTTCAATACACTTCTATTATTTTGAACACAACTGTAAGTGTATATTTGGGGTGTTTTTGTTGGTTTGGATTTTTTTGCTGGTTAGTGTTCTGGGAAATTACTGTATTATGTATATAATATATAGAAATATTAGCCATTTATGGACCATCGATCCATGGTATTTTATTGCGGAAGGGCAGCTCGTACAGGCACACCAATGTACCTGTACAATCCTCCCTTCTTCTGAGTTCAGACCCTTACCCCACTCCACTGCCTGCAGGGAGAAGAAACTGGTGTTGTCAGTCAGTTTGTTTACCTGCCACCCAGTGTCAATTGGTGTCAGATAGCCTGCCACACTATCACAGTCCCACTATAAGTCTCTGATCACTGCCATTACTAGTATAAATAAATGAATACATAAATAAATATTCCAGTATATATACCATAGTTTGTAGATGATATAACTTTCACATAAACCAATCAATATACACTTATTGGGATTTATTTTTACAAAGACACATAGCAGAATACATTTTGGCCACAATTTATAAGGAAATTTGATTTTTTAATTTTTTTTGTTGGATATGTTTAAAAGCAGAAAGTAAAAAATAAAGTTTCTATTTAAAAAATTTTTGTTTATATAATAAAAAATAAAAAATTCAGTGGTGATCAAATTCCACCAAAAGAAAGCTCTATTTGTGTGAACAAAAAAAAGATATACATTTTATTTGGGTACAGTGTTGCATGACCGTTCAGTTACCAGTAGCCAGTGCGGAATAGCAAAAAATGATCTGGTCATGAAAGGGATAAAACCTTCTGGAACTCACATGGTTAATTAAATCTGATCTGAGAGAATATGGATGGTGCCCTTGCTCACATTCCATTCTGAAAAAACTAGATTAAGGAATCTATAATTGCATTATCAGTATTCACCCTTGTATTTAGATAATGTATTTAGAATATCAATGATCAATGTAGAGACTGGTTTTCAGAACACATCACATGCAATGGTAATGTCTAGTTGAGGTTTACTGGACTAATTTTTTTTAAGACTTTTTAGAGTAGAGGTTCAAAGATTTTTGTAGGTTTTCTAAGTATGTTTTTACTGCTGTTTGCATCTCTTTTCAAAAGATATTATCTTACTTCCTGTCCAGGAGGCTAGTGCCACCTGGAGAAGGAAATTAGCAGAACATCAGACATACAATCACTTTTTTTTTTAGTAGACTTGAGATGGGTTAAATGTTCAGTCCAGTTTTTATTGATGTCTTTCCACCTAAGGCAGAAATTGAAAAAAAAAAAAAAAAACTCCAGAGCCACAGACAGTGATAAAATACCGACCAAGGTTCTAACCTATTCCTATTGTAGCTAATCCATAAAAATGCCAATGCTTATAGTAAAATTATTTTTCATTTGATTAAATTAGAGAAATAATTTATAAATATAAATGTTTAGTGATGATGACTTATCAGTGTTCTCCTTGAAGCCTAACTATTTTTATGTTCCCTGTGATAAGCTTCCCCCCTTTGATGATGTGCGGTTAGCACGAAACGCGTCAGGGTAGGAGCTACAGCGTCACTATCTCTCTGCCGCCGGCACCACGGAGGTCCCGGCGGCCATCTTTCTATTCACCTCATGGTCAGTGATTGTTTGTTTTCCTCACCTATATCATACTGTATATGAAATAAATATCTTTTAAAACGGTATCATGCTATTGGTCTCCTTTCTTTGTGGCCCTTGGTGAGTCACTTATCACCTATAGAGCCACCTAAGAGAGAGACCGTGGATTACTAGCAACATCCAGCTGGTGGAGGAATATCTGGCCTGACCTGACCTCTTGAAGCTACTTGTGGATCTAGTGGAGATAATATATCTCTAAATGCACAGTTACACTGTGCATCTGGTGAGTGCACAGCCTTATCCTTTTCACGTTTACTGCATGGAAGCAGCACTTTGAAGAAAAATAACTGTCACAAGGACTGGTTTTGCACCGCATGTCACTTTGCTTGTGATATAACTTTTGTGATCACATTAATCACCTAACCACCATATATTGATATTTTGGACGTTTTAATAATATTTTAATGATGTATTTAGCTACATGCATGTAATTCAGCTGTAAGGGCATATCCATTTTCCTGTTAACAACCACCATAACTGAAAGCAGTGCAAAGCTTAATAACAGTAATCTCTTGTTTATCAGATGAGTCGACCCTGCAATGAATTGGTGGAACTGGACATCAGATGCAGATTTCAATCTGGCTGGTCTATCTAGTGATGAAAGAATACAGACATTTTTGTTTGTGATATTCCTCCTTTTATACCTGATATCATTGGGTGGAAATTTCACCATCATAGTTACAATATGGTCAGAACGTAAACTACACACACCCATGTACTTCTTCCTGGGAAACTTATCGTTTCTGGACATCTGCTATTCTTCAGTAACCGTGCCCAAGTTGTTGTTGGGTCTTACAGGGGGCAGTTCAGAAATCTCATACAGAGGGTGTATGAGCCAGCTTTATTTCTATGTCTCCTGCTGCAGTACAGAATGTCTGCTGCTTTCCGTCATGGCCTTTGACAGATATGTGGCTATATGTGACCCTATGCACTACACCATAACAATGAACAAACACAAGTGCCTCCAGCTGGCTGTCAGTGTTTGGTTTGTTGGCTTTGCAACATCAGTTATACACACTATTTTCACAGCTCAGTTGCCATACTGTAATTCACATAGGATCTCTCATTTCTTCTGTGATATTCCACCAATGCTCGAGCTGGCATGCTCTGACACTTTTCTTAACAAGATTTTAATCCTCACCGCAGGAGGATTTTTAGGGCTCAGCTCCTTTTTACTCACCCTGGTGTCCTATATCCAAATCATTTTAACCATTTTAAAAATACAAAGTAACATTGGCAGAAGAAGGGCATTTTCCACTTGTGCTTCTCATTTAATGGTGGTCATTATCTTCTTTGGAAGCATCAGCTTCATGTACATGAGGCCAACATCTAGCTATTCTCTAAAACAGGACCAGCTTGTATCACTTCTCTATGCTGTTGTCACCCCTGCACTCAACCCAATTATCTACACTCTAAGGAATGAGGAGGTCAAAATTGCTCTTAAAAAGAAAATAAATCAAAGGTTACATTCTACATGTGTATGGAAACAGTATGTCTTAGCATTGTTTAAAGAGTTTGGCTGATGGTTATCTTTCAATGAATCATTTTCCTAGATAAAATGATTTCTTGAAAAATATTTCAGCTCACTTTTGAATGAATGTTGGTGCTTGGCTCCATGTGCAGCCCAGGGAGGGCATAGCCCTATATTGATCACCATTGACATTTTGTTAACTGATTGTTAATTGCATAGCTACATAATCTTCTAGAACAATTAACCTTTAAAACTCTATAATAAAAACCTTTTGAAATAAAAAATTAAGTTTATTGTGATTAGTTTTTTGGAAACTGTTTTTTTTACTTAAGTGACCTTACCAAGTTTCATGACATGGTTGGAATGTCTTTGTAGCAGAATGGGAATCAGGGCCTTCCCAGCCAATCTGTAAAACATTGTAAACTCTCTTGCAACATTAAGCTAGTAATAATTCCAGTGCTAATTAATGTAAAACCTACAAATGACATATTCGCTGCTGACAGCAGGATGTAAAAAAAACAAGTGCTGGCAATAAAAAATTAAAACCAGCATGGATTTTGAGGGGAACCCCATGCCAAAAAATAAAAAAAAATGGAGTGAGGTCCCCCAAAATCCATACTATACCCTTAGGTCTAGTATGGATTTTAAGGGGAACCCCATGCCAACATTAAAAAAGATTGCGTGGGGTCTCCCCCAAAAACATACCAGACCCTTATCCGAGTATGCAGCCCGGCAGGCCAGGAAAGGGGGGGGAAAAGAGAGCACCTCCCCTGAATCATACCAGGCCACATACCCTCAACATGGGGGGGTGCTTTAGGGAAGGGGAGCTCCCTGTCAAAGCACCTTGTCCCCATGTTAATGAGGACAAGGACCTCTTCCCCACAACCCTGGCCCTGTAGTTGTGGTGGTTTGGGGTGGTAACTTATTGGAATCTAGAAGCCCACTTTAACAAGTGGGCCCCCATATCCTGGCCCCCACCCATATGAATGAGTATGGGGTACATAGTACCCTTACTCATTTACCAGAAAAAATGTCAAAAGTAAATAAATCCCACTGACAGCAGATGAGTCATGGTTGTTAAGTACGTGGCAGCCACCCACTCCTTAACAACCAGCTATTCATAATGAATCCAAATTAAACTAATGCATTCATTAATTTAGTTTTTTTGGACTCATTGACATTTGTTACTATGTACATTCAGAAATTTGGATACATCCAAATCTCCAAAAATAAAATTTTCATCCGAAAAACAAATCCTAATGAAAGGAAACGCACATGTCTAAACAAAACAGCAATCTTCCAAAAGGAGCAATCACTATTTCCTTGAGATTTGGTTGCCATTATTGTCTGGCAAGTTTTTACTACTCAAAGAGATGAAAGTGTTGCCTAATTTAGCAAAAAGCATCTTTATCAGGTTCCTGCCATCTAATTTTTCTGACTACCTTGGGGCAGGGATAGACAAGTGATTTACCAAGCAGTTCTTTTCTCAATGTTTATCTGATCTCAGTACAGAATATACTTCCAGCTATTCCAGGAAATTATTTTGAACAGCCCATATTTAGGCTGACCATAAAGCAAAGTGATGCTTTTCTAAACATCATGTGACAGTCTCATGACTATGGGCAGCAGCCCAGCCAAACTGGTCCTAGGTAAGTTTAGGTTGGGAGATCTAGGAAAAGTGGACTAGTATACTTTTTACTACAGGTGTCCTTTAAAGGGAACCTTTGAGGATAGAAACATGGTAGCTGTCATTGCTAAAATGTCATGACCAAAGCATCCATGGCTGCTACAAATGGAGTGGGTCTCATCCATAAGAAGAAAGCTTAATTGTCACCTCCTGTTACTCCACAATATCAGTAAAATGATACTTCTCCACTTCTACTTGCTTTTGGCTTCTACAAGTCTCTCCTTGCTGGGGTAAAGTATTTGTGTGTTGTCTGCACGGCCAGGCAACACGCATTTTCCATTCAGACTTGCACCAGGAGACAGAAACCAGCCCTTGAGCTTTGTTTTGAAGTTTTATTAGGGATTTAGAACTTGGATGGGGTAAGGGTATATGGGATGCCCAAGGGAATGGCAACTGAGGACCAAATTCCTAAACTATGTGTTTACACAAAAATCCTCTTCTGGAGAGCTAGCCAGTATCTCCCAATGTACCTCTTCAACCCCAGATGCCCTCAATCCTGCTGTATGGAGTAATTTTCCTGTACTGCTGTTTGGTTGGTGGCTGCTACCAGGCTTTTAAGCTGGGTCACTCCTTCCTTGCTGCCAGGTGGTATCTCTCAGGGGGTCAGTGAAGTCCCTAGCTTTCCTCCTCTCCAGCATCACTCCTGGAGGTGAGCCCCTTCCAGCCTGGGCTCCCTCCCAGGCTCCTGCACCTCATACTCTTTCCTACTCTCTCTTCCACCTCCTTCTGCTTCTGAGCAGACTCCCTTACCCTTGAGGGTTGTCCTGGCCCCTTGCCAAGCCTCATGTTGGGGATTGGCAAGGATCCTTCCAGAGTGCAAGCCAGCCTCCTCAGATCCCCCCACTGCCTCTAGACCTCCCTCCAAAGCTTTAGAGCAGAGAGAAATTCCAGAGGGCTGGCCTGCAGAGCCTCTCAGCCCTGACCCAAATTATACCTCCTGACTAGCACACCCAGGCTGCTCTTTGACAATCAGGATTCTGACTCCCCCTATCTAACATTTATTTCTATGCAGATGTGTATATGTATGTGTAGCACTACCCCCTTAAGAGTTGTTAAGTTTTGGGTCCCCCTATAGTTCTGCAGTCAGGCAACACACATTTTCTTCCACACTTGCACAATGGAGACAGTAAACAGTCCTTGAGCTTGGTTTTATGTTTTATTAAGGGGTATTTAACTTGGATGGGGCAGAGGGCTGTATGGGATGCCCAAGGGAACTGTGAATTGAGGACAAACTCCTTAGCAACTATGCACAAGTCTATTAGACAGCAAAGTTTCTTGGTTGGAAGAGCTCTCCAGACCTCTAGGTGTACCACCTCAGACCCCAGATTAATTTTCTTCTTCACTCAGCTTCCTGAAGGAATCCCTTGGCAAGGGGACCAATAATCTGCCAGCTTTAGATCAGCAGTGCACACCAGAATGCCCTCTCCCCTTATCTGGCCCAGGGGGTGTGGGAATACTCACTCAGTCCTCTCCTGCAAGCTTGGCTCCTTCTCTGCTTCCAGGATGTCATCTCTCAGGGGAAGGTTGAGGCTGAGAGATCCACCTTCCAGATCTTGTCAGCAGGTAGGCCTCTCTCCTGGGCCCCCTCTCAGGCTCCACACTCCATCCCTCCCCCTCCATCTTCTTGCTGCTAAGCATTCTCAGCCATACTTAAAGACTGCTCTGGCCCCATGCAGAAACAAACACCCTGCTTGGGGATTTGGCCAGAGTCCTCTAAGTGTGCAGTCCAGCTCCTCCTCACCCCTGCCCACTGCTTCTAGAACTTTGTCCAAGTTTCTAGAGCAGGAAGAGGTATCAGGAAACTGACCTGAAGAGCCTCCTAGCTCTGACATAAATTAACCCTCTGACATTGTATATGTACACGTATATACTGTACCTTTTATGTTCTCAGACTTAAGATATTACCAAACACACCTACATTTATATTATATTGTGTTTTATTGTAGCCCTGATGAAGGGGGTGCATTTCCTAGTCCTCAAAACCTGTTGGCTGTTTTTTTAGTCCAAACCAATACATTATGTTAGACTCTTTTATTAGTTGGTCTGGCACTCCTTTCATTGATGTATGTTTTGTTCTGATAACCTGCTGGGTACCCACTGGAGGGCAGCCCTGTCTATGGTAATTAGCCTTCCCTGAGTCAGTGAACTATCCAAATGTATTTTTCCCTTTCACTTCTTTATATGAACTCACATCAAAGTCCCAGGGCCGCTTGGGTTTTTTTTTTCTTCATTGTTCATGCCCCAGTCATCTCTACTTATAAGCTTAGTAACTTCTTCAGAGAGCCCCCAAAGACAATGCAGGATTTTTATGCTTGTTTAAGGGTTAGCTTACAGTGAGAAAGGGCACTCTAAAAAAAACATGTGAACAATGTTTTTAGAGATCCCTTTGTATATTACATTTTCTTAATGTGGTTGTAAAGGCAAAAGCGCTTACCTTAATTAATTTTCTGCATTAAGGTAAAACAAACCTTCCATGATCAGTTCCCCTCACCCCTAAATACTTACCTATGCCTGATCTTGATTCAACGCTGAGCCCAAGAGCAACAGCACTGCTCTCTTTCTATTTACTCAAAGAACTCAGATGCAGCAACGAGAGCTGCTGTCAGGGCTCCAGGTATGACCAGAGGTGTGTGGACTGACACAGGGAAACGCAGGCTTCAGGAGTGATGTATAAGAATATAATTTACACCCTGTTCCAAATTATTATGCAAATTCTATTTAAGTGTCACAAAGATTAAATATTTTGTTTTTCAGTGTAACTCATGGATGGCATTGTGTGTCAGGGCTCTTTTGATCACCGAAAACAATCTCGGACACCTGTGATAATTAGATTGGCTGGTGAGCCCAATTTAAGGAAAAACCACTAAAGGAGGGTGTTCCACATTATTAAGCAGAGCACCATTTTCAAGCAATATGGGGAAGAAAAAGGATCTCTCTGCTGCCGAAAAGAGTGAAATAGTTCAATGCCTTGGACGAGGTATGAAAACATTAGATATTTCTTGAAAACTTAAGCGTGATCATCGCACTATTAAGAGATTTGTGGCTGATTCAGAGCACAGACGGGTTCGTGCAGATAAAGGCACATTGAGGAAGATTTCTGCCAGATCCATGCATCGGATCAAGAGAGCAGCTGCTAAAATACCATTACATAGCAGCAAACAGATATTTGAAGCTGCTGGTGCCTCTGGAGTCCCACGGACATCAAGGTGTAGAGTCCTCCAGAGTCTTGCAACTGTGCATAAACCTTCTATTCGGCCACCACTAACGAATGCTCACAAGCAGAAACAGCTGCATTGGGCAGAAAAATACATGAAGACTAATTTTCAAACAGTCCTGTTCACTGATGAGTGCTGTGCAACGCTGGA